TGTCAAGTTTGGTGCTAAACTCTTGAAGAATATTATAGTAACATAAGTAATAATATTACATTCATCTTAATTACATTGGGTATCTGGTGTTAAAAATAAAAATAGTTAGAAAAATTAATACACAATAATTAATAATAATAATAAGGTATAATGTAAAAGTAGTTGCTGTTGGCCAGTTTACTCTCTTTGGTCAGGGGGTTTGGTATTAGGGATAGTGCAATGTTACCTGGATGTACGTACTGACATACATGTGGGAAAGGACTCTATAATCGGAATTAAAAGAGCCTGGGGTTTGGCCAAAGGTAATCTTCTCTAGTATGTAAATAATAAAATAAATAGTCATAGTATTAAAGTCATATTATTTGCTTTGGGTACTTTGTTCGTTTGTTGTTAAGCGCAAAACTACACAATTAGCTACCTGTGGGTATCGAAACCCGGTTTTTTAGCGTTATAACCATACAGACTTGCCGTTGAGCCACTGAAGGACAAGATAATTTGTATAAAAAAATAAAAAATACACATTAATTATAAAGTTGTGTTTGTTTGTTTGAAGTCAAGCACAAAGCAACACAATGGGCTATCTGTGCTCTGCCCACCACAGGTATCGAAACTTGGATTTTAGCATTGAAAGTCCGCAGAAAATTATAAAGTAAAAAGTATTTTTTTGCCTGCCAGTTAGCTGCATGTGGTCGTTGATTCAGAATTAGAGATGGTGCCGCGCTACCAGATCTGCGCACTGATAAAAGTGAACTACGAGACTCTAATTCTAGGGAAGAGAGCCTGTGCTATGACCAGTGCTAAACTCCTTTAGTGTGTAAATCAATTCAAATCATACTGAAGTCTTACTATACTGTGACCTACAGATAATTAGCCCTAGCAATGCAATACCTAGAAAAATATTTGTCAAAAGATACAGAAACCTAAAACGCTATACTCCATAGACGTGAAACGTAAAGACACGAAACTTTTAAGATGTGTAGGTTAAAAACAACGAAACCTAAATACTTTAAGCTTAAAGACGCCGAAGCCTAAAATCAAACGCCATAAAGCTTTAAACATAATGAAGCCAAAATTTTGCAATCTAAAGATAATGGAACATGCTAACATAAAACCTAAAAGCCATACTACTTTAATTCTGAGTCTCTGAAGTATAGAAACGTGTATGCCCAAAGACTTAAAACCTAAAGAGACAAAGCAACGATAAACTCGTACCTGAAAAATGTGAAACTTAAAGATATAAAGCTTAAACACTTGGAACCTAAAGACAGTAAAGCTTTTAAATACTGAAACCTGAAGACACTCAACCTAGACCATAGGTCTAAATATATCGAAATCTTAAGAGATAAAACCTAAAATACGAAACCTAAACACATCGAAACCTAACCAAGTAAATCCCAAAGACAAGGAAACACTACCCATGTAAAAATGAACACTGACCTACAATAGAACAAAGCTTAAAGAAAGTAGGGCTTATATCTCGTTAAAGAAAATTATTAAGATAACTGTATAAAAACATCTTAAGAAGAATTTTTAAAAAAAGTATACTGTAATTTTCTTAAGACTTCAATAACTCCGTTTCTCTTCTTTAGTTCCCACCTTTGGACAGTGCAGTTGTGCTTTTCAAAACTTACTTAAGTTGCAACTACTTTTTATTGGTTGATAACACAAACCTGACCCTCACCAACCTACGATTTTGTAATATTGCTTTTTTTAAATCCTAAAGTTGCTCTACAAAAATATCCTTTAGTCAGTAGCAATCGTTAATATTTCCAAGATACACCATGAGCAACTACATTATATAACTTGTGAGTTAGTGGAGTTATTGTGGAGTTGAATAAAACTGAACAAAAAATTCAATAGTTCATGCTCAAGGACAGTCTTTGTGTTTAGCAATAATTTTTAGAAGAATTAAATGAACAATATATATCCTGCCCTGTCCCCTGACTGCCTGATATATTTTGAGAAAAAGTTTAAGGCGTTTTGAAATAAAAGAGACACATTAATAGCAACATAATCAAGTGAATTCATAGATATATAGGTAGCTAAATAATGTAATTAGGTTACTAAAGAAATAGCTTCTATAATCAGTATTTAATACATGAAAGCAGATCATGTTCTTTTTTTGTTACCAAGGTAATATGAAACTAATAGCTTAGTCCTTGATGCCAATTCAAAAACAAGCTTATCATTCAAGGAAAGTTGTGCAGTTTAAAATTTCCTTATGTCGCAATTCATTTTTATTGGTTGATAAAAAAACGACCTTCACTAACCTAGCCATGTTAGGTGTAGCAGTTGTATAACCTACAGCCGTTCCTAGAATTTAGACAACTTTGTTCTACATAGAAAGTCAAGAAATTCAGAAACTTCTGTCGAACTAAGCTTTTAGTTTCTATATTTTTATTGAAGCAAGTTCTTTCATACTGACGATACTTTTAAAAAAGTTTTGTCTTGGAATCAAGAGAGCCATCAAAGAGTAAGTTTTATGTTTCCGTTAGAACCAAGTGGTTTAACAAGAAAAAATAAACAATAAAATTATAAATCGTTGTTCGAAATATTATCATATTCTTAATTATTGTTCATATAATAAAATAAAATGTAAAATATAATTTTTAAATTAAGACACAGTGAATGGGCTATGAAGCAGTCTTATTGAAAATTAAAAGAGTAAATGTACGTTATGAAGTAAGAGAAACTGAAATTGCATTCTGGGAAATCAATATTATATGTGTTCCTAAGATCAAATAATGATAGTGCAAGAGTTAAAAACATGCGAGTTTGTTGTATCAAGCCTTTATGTTTTTGCTTGTCAAGAATGAATTAAAGCATTTTGTTGAAAGGTTAATATGTGTTTTATATGAATGTAACGTTGACATATTTAAAGTTTTGTTTCTTAAAAAGTATTTTTAAACTTCTTTGCACAGAAGTAGGTCAAAAACGACAACATTTGAAAGAAAAAAAGAGATCATCATATGTTTGATATATATTTTGTTCTAGTTCAGCTATAGGAAGAGATTAATGTTACACGTAGAATATAAAAAAGCAGAAAAGTCCTACCTGTTTTAGTGATGTAAGCGATGTATAGAAATGACGCCATCCCCTTCTCCTCCCAAATTTTAAACTTACACAATAATAACAGTATGATCACAACATGATTACGAGTCTTCGATGCAATTCTTGTTCACACATTCCCGTTTTTCAGTCAGATGCCAGGTGATCAGGTCTATATAGTTACACATCGGAATTCCGATTCACACGGTTACTATGCTAGCCTTTAACATCGAAACCCTTAGAAAATACGACACCACCGGCTCAGCCCTTGGTGAAAATTACATAATATGTTTCCTACGTAAGGAAGGTTAGGCAGTTTAAAATTTTCAGATGTGTTTTCCATTGAAATAATGCTGAGACAACTAAGCCTCTTCAGATCAGGTATGAATCAAAAGTAAGTTTTGATAAGGCCTCCCAGTTGCACAGCGGTATGTCTGTGGATTTACAACGCTAGAAACCGGGTTTCGATACCCGTGGTATGCAGAGAACAGATAGCCCTTTGTGTAGCTTTGTGCTTAACTACAAACAAACAAACAAAAAAAAGTTTTGATAAGCTTTAGTTGTGAAAAGCTCCATCTATCCTTAGGTATAGAAACAAGCATGGCCAAAAAGGAATGGCTAGTGTTTAATGTACGGCAATGTAGGGCTCTATGTAGTCATGAACTGCCAAAGGGGGTATCGTTTCAGGATACAATTGTGGTTTTCTCAGATTAACTGATTTCCACTCAAATGTAATATAGGTCCACTTTATAACGAAAGATTCGTGCAGAATAATCACAGAGTAAATTGTAATTTAATTCAAAGACTGACATTTATGCTCAGAGAATAAACAGACTGGACATATGATGTCTTTGTAATGTTCCAAAGCAAATCAAACAGTGTACACAATTGCATAAGACAACCACATTCCTACTGAAACTATGAATTTTTTAACAGCTCTCTTTCCCCAAGATGTATCTCCACTGAACTATTCACGTCAATATCCAAGAAAACTAACAAAAAGCAATGCTCCTTACAAGAACAGGTAACCTCAGTTTTACTCATAAGCAACAGATGTCACCATGTGCCTGACCTGTCGTTCTCATACAACAGACAAAGGATGTAACCTCTACACCTCAGCTACTTGGCCAGCAAAGGGCATTGTTGTTAACAACCTATTTCTAAACAACGTGTGAAATTGCAGTAACATTCCCATGGGTAAACTAGATATTCTGCTGCATTACAATAGCGAAACAAAGGTAACTAGAACCAAACAATTTCAACAGTTTTTTGGACCATGTGTTTATTCCAAAACTGCACAGAAATATACAAAACGATGTTTAAAAAATTCTTCTATTAATAAAAGTAGGTATAAAACACGATATGCCTATATATCACACATTTCCTTATATGTGGATGGCAGTGGTTTTTTGTTGCTGAGGCCATATTTTGACTGTATTCACATAGGTGTACTTTGAGATTGCTATATAACCTCGTGATAAGTTTCCCAGAACGTGTTTATGTTTTGTCATGCATAACGTCTTTCTTTAGAATTTTCATTCAGGTTTCTGCTGGTAAATTAGTATCATGTTTATACCCATCTTACAAAACCAAATCGGTTCACAGTGGTGTTATAGACATATATGTTATTAGGTATTCCAGTGCTGTAGGACTGTAGAGTTCATTGGTCTAGTCTGTCACACCAGTATCAGCCAACTCAGTTTATACTAGTTCCTTAAGTTGTTAAAAATGCTTTGCAAAGACTGACTTGCTTAGTTCCATATTCAAAATGTTATTGTAAAACTCATAACAACCATCAAAAATTGAATCATATTTTAAATGGATTACTTGGGATTCAATGCTAATGTCCAGCTTGGACTGTGCATAGTTGTATTCTGGATGACAGGAAGCAAAGTGCTGATTTAAATTCGTCCAGAGTTTATGTATTACTCACAAGGCGAATCACATACATTAACTATTTTCATGCTCTTTTATTCTTCACTACTTTGTGAAGATACCCAGAAATTGTATGTAATAATTGTACAGAACATTCACACTTCTTGCTCTTGGTTGAATAACAACC